GGATACCATTTAATTTTACTCTTTCTGACAATGTAAACAGACTAAACAAGCACACAATTCAATTGGCTAAAATATTCTATAGGAGAAATGTCTTGCAGAGACAATCATTAAATGATTTAACAAATGCTGACGTGATGGAAAATGCACAGTGAGGTGTTCTCGGGATGTGGGGTTTGGTTTTGTTTTTTTGGATTGGCTGTATTTTGGTGTGTGTTGCAGCTTATGTAGAACTTAAGCAGTACACCCAATCCTCCTCACCTACATACATGCCCTCCCTTTAGTGAACTTCACTCAGCTGCTGCTCTGGATCTCTGTGAGCCTCCTCTGCCACGTCACAATCACTTTTACGAGAAAGGAATAGCTGTAGGACTACATGTCCAGGAAACAGAGCCTTAAAATAGTTTTCACTCTTTTGTTCAAAACACCAAAACAACATAAGGAATTCACAGGGCAGGGAACCTGAAACACTCAAGTGCAGCATATAGGGTGGACAGCTGAAAGATGCAGTTGATCATAGAAAGAAAAATAAGATTAAATAAAAGACATCCTAAAATATAACTAGGAACAATTCATTATGCAGTTGCACAAGTCAGCACTGCCATAACACTAAGTCATCTGTAGCAGCAAGACACTGGTGTAAGAAGGGATGAATCAAACCCTGGGTTTTGATTTTAAATGGTTGGGCAAGCATCACACAGCAGGAAGAGCTACAGCTTCCAAGTGCTCCTGACAACGTCCCTCCAAATAAAACTGTGAAGGTTGTTCATCTTGGGAGACAGTCACACAACTCCCTTCAACTTTGTTAGGCAACTGGCTACAAATAAAACAACACTTCAAATGGGATGTCCTCCCATGACACGAGGATGTCTTCTCCAGCTGGTGTGGAAGGGAGCAGAGTGAGCAGCAGCAGCACCACAACTGCAGGGAGGACCCAGGTCACTTCCCTTCACTGATAGTCAGCACTTCTATAACAAACAGAGATAACTATATATATATATATTAACCTAATATATTTTTACTTTTTGTTTAGATTTTTTTTTCTTTGCTGAGTTGCTTCCTTGTCCCCAAGAAGCTTTTATCAATATATTAAAGATCTTTTTTGCTCCAACCAGCAGATGTTGCAAACTAGATATAAACTCTGATGGCCAACTACAGGCTTACAGCACATCAGTGATCCCCTCATGGAGCAAACTCACCTCACTCTTCAGTACAGTCATTGAATCAGAAGGTTACAGACAACTTTTGAGGTCAAATACTTGAACCTCCCTCCTGGCAGACTGAGAGGGAGGAAGAGGAAAGACCACAGCCAGAGCAAACTGGAGCCACAGGTATTCTCACCTGCCCACAGCTGTAATAGGTTGGGGCTAGGGTGTATTTTCTACATATGCAGGACACTCAGAATTGACTAAGTCCATTCTGTTGATGCACAGCCCAAACCTAAGAAATGTACCACAAGGAACAAAACACAAGAATTCCCCACAGTCACTAAAAGCAAAAGGAACTGTGATTTAATATTTCAATTTAGTGCAAGGTGCATGGAAATAGGGCCCCTAATGTGTTAGTCCTGATGTGCTTTCCTGTGCGAGTGTGGGGAAGCACTGAGCTGAGCCTCTATTTATCCTCCCCTGAGCCAGATGGCTTATTTACCTGCTTACCTGTGGGGTAATTGTGATGGACTGAATGGCCTCTATCGGGCATGGCATCTGGGAAGTGTTTCAGGCTAAAAGGCACTATCAGGTACAAGGCATGAACAGTAGCACTGGGTGAGGAACAGGCACAGCACAATTGTAAGGCAGCTTTCCAACCCTTTACCAAACGAACCTCTACTCTTTGGCACTGCACTCAAGGAAACAGTTCTGCTCAGACACAGGAACGACTGAGGTACCCGAGTCACAGTAAAGCTGCAAGCGAGTGATCATGACATACACCACAGAGTCCTCTCTGCCTGTTGCATTGCATCACCAATGCTAATTTCATTTATCTCCAGAAGTGGTGCAACTATCTATTACAGTTATCTGTACATTTAAGTACATGTCTATTTTTCCCTATATTTTTGTTTCAGGAATTTGACAATGTTTTGTGGGGTTTTTGCTTCTGATAAATCCCATGTTGTCATCTGTCTGCTCCTGACAAATCTCATCAGCAACACATCTCTGCAAGGGCTTGAAAACCCCTCAGGATGTGTAGATGGATGTCATTTACTTGAGCTGATCTGTTCCCCAGGTTCCCTGTTGGCATCCCTTGAACAGGTGAGTGTTCATCTGGCATAAATCAGCTGAGCTCTCTTGGGACTCATTTACATCAACCAAGAATCCAGCCTAAAACGTAGAGCTGATTTCTCATGTATCAGACTGTATCCCTTGCTGAAAGGATCATTATCAGAGGTAGTTAAACATGGTGCTGGAACTGCAATTCCAGCAAGCTTTTTGCATAGCAGGTGAAGTAGGGGCAGATGCTCCTCACCAGCCCATGTCCATCGACAGAGACATGAACTAGATTTTACTCACCAAGACAGTTTCTTGCAATTATTGTAAAGGACAAAACAACCAAACCACAAGGCACCAGGTGATAAACCCAAGATTATTGAGAACTTGGGTGGAAACTTTCTTTGGAAAAGTAGATCAACATTAAATGGACACCTGTCTTTGTTAAGAGCATCTAAAATATGAACTTGGGACACAACAACATGACAGAAATCTGTTTAAGACCCTGCCAAGCCTATCAGGTTCAAGAAGAATAAAATAATAAGTATAAGAAAACATAACTGCTTAATAAAGAACAAAAATGACCATTGTAACTAAGGGTTATCACCAGTTAACTCTGCAATGGCATAAACTATTCCTTTCAGATACTAAGGGATTCAATGAAGATGCTATTCATGGTAACAAATAAGACCACATGAAGACCACCCCTAACCAATGCAAGTACCAAAAATCACAACCAAAGCAAGTCTCTGAGCTCTGACTAAGATGCATAGATACCTACCAAACTAAAAGCTGGACTTCATAAAAATAAGGGGTTTATTCTGCCACTCCTCCTCATATTGAAGGATATTCTAAGTGACACTTCACTCTCTCAGTGGTCCCTTTGACTTCAGGGTTGTGGCTGACAATGAGAAGTTACCACTCTGTTGTAGGTGTACAGTGGCTGAATCTGCCCCCATCCCATTTCCTGCATCATCCAAGAACCTTTTGCACCTTTGCAAAAATACATCTAATTCTTCCAGAACACATCTTGCAATGACAGAACGGACCTGAAAACCTCGTGCACTTCCTACATGTAACGATGGAATTTTGTTTGATGGACAAACCTCTCTATTCCACCTTAGAGATGTCTCCCAAGAGACACAAGGCTTCTTGAGGCAGAATGGAGGCTGGAGAAGGCTGCAGGAGGAAATGAGTGGGCAGCCAGAAAGGAGGGCAGCTGAGGATGTTCATATAAACAAAAAAGCACAGTGCAGTCATAGAACTATAGAATCATGGAATGGTTTGGGTTGGAAGGGACCTTAAATACCATCTAGTTCCAACCCCCTTGCATGGGGAGAGACACCTCCCACTAGATCAGGTTCCTACAAACTACATCCAACCTGGCTTTGAACACTTCCAAGGATGAAGTATCCACAACATCCCTGGGCAGCCTGTTCCAGTGTCTCACCACCTTCATAGTGAATAATTTCTTCCTAATGTCTAACCTAAACCCACCCTCTTCCAGATTAAGGCCATTACCCTTTATCTTATCACTACATGACCTTAAAAAAAGTCCCTCCCCAGCTTTCCTGTAGATCCCTTTCAGGTACTAGAAGGTGCTCCAAGAACTCCCTAGAGCTTTCTCTTCTCCAGGCTGAACAACCCCAACTCTCTCAGCCTGTCTTCATAGGAGAGCCTAATTCTCAGCCAAATTCAAAGGTACATTTGCAGTGCAAAAGTAAATGCCACTGTGCAGTCACAGGACTGTGACTACATGGCATGAAGGGGGCTCTGCATGATCTGGCTGCAGCCCTGCAAACAGATCTGTGGATTAACCACACTAAGCAAACAGCCAGAGCAAAAAGAAGAATGGAGTTCAATGCCATTCACTGAAATTTCACTTTGTCCCAAAGCACAGCCTGTTTTAATTTGCTTTTGCTCTGGCAGATACAGGAGGAAAAATATGCAAAGCTGCCCTACGTCCCAGCTGTCAGGATGGCAAAAGAAATGAGAGATTTGAATAAGTTTACTTAATTGTTATCAGTATTACAGGCACCTTAAGGGACTCAGTCATAGAAGAGAATAATTTATAGTAGATAATAAATTACATTTTCCTCTACTTTTCTCCTTGAGAAAAATCTATTAAGACTTAATAATTAAAACTCCTGAAAAAAGTTCAGCTAAATGTTTTTAATTGAAAAATGGTCTATTTTGTAAAAATGTCCATTTTCTTTTTTTTTCTAATTAAAAAAGACACTGCTCTCTTGAGAAATGCCACTGAAAATTATTAACTGACATTCCTCATCAAACCTGCTAATAAAACATTTCTTTACTCACTCAGCAACTTGAACCTGTAAGATTTTGACACTTAATTCCATTTCTATTTGAAAATCCTGGCCAAACAAAAAGACCTTACTTTCTGTAATCCCTTTTAATAACAGTAATAGAGATGATACAGGAACATACAGAACATGCTCAGGCATGTGTGTGATTCACAAAGTTGTCCCTTTTCCTCTGTACCCCGCACTGATTAGCACAATCAGACCACAGTGACCAAGACAGAACTTCCTCTCTGGTTTTGACTGTTGGGTTTTTTTTATTTATTTCATACTTTGGGATCATTAGTTTGCATCAAAGGCAGTTTGACTCCGTACATCCATAAGTATCATAATGAAAACAGAGTCATAAGTTAAAACCAAACCCTGAATTCCCTATAAAATCTCACGTCTATGGGTTATAAGCAGAGTCCTTGGAACAATAAATTATTCATTTAATAACATTTCAGGCAGAACAAAATTAAAAATGTTTACTTACTGATGTATAGAGGTATCCTTCACTGTTCATTGCCAGATACAATTTTGTTTGAACACCCTGAATCGCCACCACTCGTAAACCCACAGGTATGAGGTTAAACAAAGCTAGGAGAGAAAGGAGATGCAGAGCAAAATTAATCCTTTAGAGTAATGCAGATTAGAGAGAGAATTAAGCCATAATTACCAGTAACAAACAAAAAATGCCCATTCATGCATATATTAATTTCTGTGGGTGCTGTAGAACAGTACTGCTACTTCCATAGCAGCTTCCACCAATAGCTCAGAAGTTATCTACAGAGGGAATCAATGTACCTCCCCCACTCTGAAGATCACGAACTGGAGGTATTGAGAACTAAAATTACTTACCTACCTCATGAGCAGAATCCAGGGTCTGCTAAGTAGAGTTGGACGTAATTAATTTGGTTTTTTTGCTTGATTTTTTTTTTCTGACAATAAGTGGAAAAAAAAAATCCCAAACAAAATGTTTTTCAAGACAATAAAAACTGGTTTTTGCAAATTCAGATCAAATTCAGTAAACATTTTTGACCAAAAGGAGCAAGATGAAATTCAGAAAAGTTAAAACCCTTCATTAACATCTCAAAATGTTTCCATTCAAAGGGCAATTCTTTTTGCTTTTTGAGAGGAGAATGGGTTTGAAAAAAAGAGTTAAATAACTTCAAAATGAAATGACAGCATATTCTTTACATCAAATCTGTGCTTTCAAAACTGAGCTGCCTCAAATGTTCTGCTTGCATTTATGCTTGCACACAGGCTAAGAGTGGCAGTATTTATATGCAGAGAAACATCTCTTCAAAAAATGAAGATTTCGGTTTGTAAAGTGGCAAATTTTAAAGGAAGAAAGAAAAAGCAAAGCTCTGCCATAGTTTTGATTCATAGCAAAGTTAAAATTGAACACAAGTAATAATGAGTTGAACACTGTACTCTGTGTTCAATATGTACAATTGGAGTTCAGAAAATTTTCAAGAACTGTTATCGTAGCCCAAAGCATCTCCCTCAATCTGTTTGATAAACCCAGAGATAGGATGAAATAAAGCCAAACAGGCTCTTATTTCCAATAGTTTATTACTTGGCTGGAAAACTGGTTTGCTTCAGGCTGAAGGTTGATATTTATGGTCACTGTCTGAAGCCAATTTAAAACTGAATTATTAATTTGAAATATTTTTATTTTTTCAGAGGTATAAGCTGAGAGTTATGACCCATTATAATTTCCTTTTTCAGCTTGACAACCCCCAAATGGTCACATATAATTAGAAGAAAATTTGCAGCTTGCCAGCATTAACTACAGATCCTAAATTCGGGGTGTGGGTTCATCAAGAGTGTACAAAAAAAGGAGAAGGAAAACATATGTTTGTCCTATTTTAATAAAGGCATGGCCAGAAGTTAACACTGTGCATTGGGGTGGAGGGGCTAATAGCTGGTGAGAACAGGCTCTGCTCCAGCAGGACACTGGACCTCCAGCTGTGTGTGCTGTCCTGGGATAACCTGAGCATCTCAGCCCCACAACGTGGTGAAAGAGGGTGCAGTTGGCTCAGAGGGGCCCTGCTGAGGGACCTGCCTGGCACCCTGTGGACTATGGAGGCTCTATACTCTGAGCAACTCTGAGCAGATTTCCTCCAATGGCCAAACAGAGCAGAGGAGGTGGAAACAGCCAGAATTAACAAATAAATGCAGGAGATAAGAAAACTGTATGTGTGTTTTTCTTTCCCTCTCATACACACAAGTGTGGGTGCAGACACAAAGACACAGGCAGCCCCTCTGCACGCTCACCTGCAAGCACAGAGCAACAGAAATGGCTTTCTCCTCTAAAACAAACTGGTCTAGTTCTGTGTGCTTTTGGCAAACAAAACTTAGATTTTCAGTAAGGGAAATGCTTATGGAAATGGATTTTCTCCTTCATTCTATCAAATGCTTGAATTTATTTGTGGGAGACAATATTCCCTGCCTGACTCAGTAAATATTCCCTTGGAGAGCCCTCTAAGCAGTATCTGATCTCCATGTAGGCAAGAGCAGAATTTAAAGCTCAGTATCCAGGCAGAACCTGGAGGTATCTTTTGAAAGGCACTTTCTTAATGACAAATGTATGAGTGGGACAAGCGTTTGGGTATTTCCAGCACAAGGCTATGAGGGTGGGCTCCACTGTAAATAGTGCTACCAACCCGTCAGTAGATCAGCTGAGGACGGGGCAGAACCTGAGACAGTCAAGAAGATACAGCTCACAGCCACAAGCCACAGAGATAGGTTTTAGTGAGCAACTCCTGGCTCTGCTAGGCTTGGCAAAGACACAAAGCTGAGTGACTTCTGCCAGGGGAGGGCTGGAGCACCCACTGCCATGGGTGCTCAGCAGCTTGCCTCAGCAGCTGAACAAGTTTTCCTGCCATAAACACACATGCTCTATTTTGGAGCAAGATGAGGGCTGAGCACACTCAGAAACTGGTTTAGACACCCGTGAGTTTAGCAGCTGCTGTAGCACAAACCATGGGAAGTTGCAAAAGGGCTGTGGGGGAGGAACACTGGCTCTGCCTCTGCCGAGGGGGAGAGAGACCAGCTGTTGGGGGGGTACCCAGTTCATCTGTCCTACACCAGCACAGCCAGACACAGAGTCAAACTGCCCGAGCTGCCATCTCCAAGGCAAGGGAATGCTGGTAATAGACCAAAAAGGGGACTGTCTCCTTTAGCAGCAGCTGTTGCTCCCACCATCCTTGCACAGCAGCAAGAAAAAGTTTGGCTTCTGTAACAGAGAGTGGCCTGTGACCAGCAAATGCTGACAGGGCCAACAGAGCCCCCTCCTCTGCAACCCCCAGTGCCATGGACAATGGGTTTGAGAGGCTATCATATTTTTAGAGGCTGTCTCTCATGGGCAGATATGGCAGAAAGGGTGAAAAAACAGATGCAGGAAAATAAATTGTTTGCTACTGCAATCAGTTTGTGTTAGCATAAGATAATGCAAAGTGATTTGCATCCTGCTATTACATTTGTGCTGTCTAAAATAAGGACATAATATCCATTGTAATGAAAAACTGGGCAATACCTAAGGGAGAGATGATCTTTGCTGTGGCCCTTGTGCAATACACGTTGACAGAGAATTAGAGCTGCAAAGTAAGAGGCAGAAGGCAACAGCTGGATTTATGAATGTGTACATTGCTGTGAGGTCTGTGCCATCCTTGGCTGGATCACCTGGACCTTCACACACTTTCTGCAGGACAGTGTTTCCTGTACTTCTTGATTTTATCAGTCCTTAAATCTTGTTGTCTTGCAAAAATTGAGGAATAAATTATGACTTGATTTAAAACCTTGCCCTATTTAACACACTTTAACGAGGCAAGATCTGTTTTGCAGCCAGGAAATCCTTTCCATGAGGCACTTCCTCAAATTACATGGACTCTTGGCTAAAACAGGGGTCTGGTGAGTGCTACAGCTCCTCAGCTCCGTATTTCACTTCCACTTACAAAATCTCAGCTTTCTTTTAAACTCCCTGCAGTTATGGGGGAAACTTGTTTTACTGAACCCTGCAGGCAGCAGTGGGGCTGCAGAGCTTGAAAGGCTCCCAAGTCAGGAACCAAAGGGGATCTTGAGGCAAAACTCCCACCAAGCTCTACGTAGCAAATGATGGGGACAGTAAACTCCTGGGCTGCTGTCAGGAGCAGGGGACAACACTTAGGGGTGCAAAGGAGAGAAGAACAGACTAGAGAAGGGTTTTGCCCCATTTTGGGGGAGCTACAACTCCTGTGGCTTCTTTGTAGTCATGAATACAAGTTAACTGGGAGAAGTCTCTGCAGATATTGGAAGAAAGGATTTTAGGGACCTGATCTGCTTAACAGTCATGCTAGCAAGGCTTTGGGGAAAGTGCCTTGTGTGGATTCTGATCCACAGCATGTATCAGCCTCTCTTCCTGGCTCCATTAAAATTTTGGCATTTTAAATAAATTCAGGAGTGCAGGACATTCAGGTCTATAAAGTTACCTTAAGTAAAAGAGGAATACATACAAAAGCATGTGTTTGTTTTAATGATAAAATCCTCCTCTCTTCTGACACTGCAGCCCAGCTGCAACCATTTCTGGGATAATTCCATTATATTTAGGTATTCAGCACTTTGATACAAATTAATCTGTTTCTAAGATATATTAGTTTTCTCTGCTCCTTCAAATTTACCATAATGTGATAGATTACAAAGCAAATAATAAAAACTTCTTATTGCTGGATACTAGTCTTTCAATGTCAAAAAGACAGATTCCAATACATTTTCTCATTTTTAAAATCTCAGAATCCCTATTAGAGGAATTGCAAAGTATTCCAACAAAATTATCACTTAAAAAAAAAAGATGGAATTTCAGATGTTTGCTCTGGTATCTTCAAAGTTCATAATAATATCATGCTTTGATGTAAAAAGTAAGGTTTGGCTGTTTATAATTTTTAAGGATATTTTACAGAATTACCCTGAAATCCTTGATTATCTGTATTGATTTTTAAAATAATAAACACCAGATCAGTCACTTGAAAGAAGAGCCATGTTTAAGGTCCATAAGGATTATTCTTAAGAGTAGATTTTGTGGCTGCACAGGGGATAACTCAATGAAGGCAGCAGCCCCTCAGCACTGCACTGATCTGGTGTTGTGCTGCCTTTTCCATGCGTGAGCACAGGACCAGGGGCCAGACCTCAGGTGTCCCTGCAGGTCCTGAACTTCTGCTCTGCCTTGGAGCCACCACCATCAGTGGCTGCAGAGGAGACCTCCTCCAGCAGCCTAACTGGTTCTGTCACACCAGTTGGAAGTTAATACAGGGATACAAAAAGAATTCAAGAGGGTGCAAGAAACGTGGAAGCAAGTGATCAGACAAATTAGATGGGATACTTTATGTTGCACCTAGTGCTTACTCTGCCATATTCAAGTGCCCTGTAAAATGAAACAATGTTTCACCTGCAAGTGATTTTCACATGAAAAGGGTGGTACTTAAATCAGTGGTTTTTCATAATTAGGAAGGTCTGCCTGTTCATTTTCTGGTTTGTTGTCTAAGTGGCCTGAAGTACTTTCTCAAACTCCTTGCTCCTCCTAACTCCCTTCAGAATAGAAATGTAGTTTAAGCTAAACAGTAGGACTGTGTGAAACACTTACATATTTTAATTACACACACCAAATCTACACTGTAGCCATATTTTCCTCTTTTCTATTTAATCTCAAAGCTGTAAAAAACAAAACAAAACAAACAACAACAAACCACAACACAAAAACAACAAACCAGAAACATTCAAAGCTTTTATCACAGAAATGCCAGGGGAAAACTGGTCAAAAGCTGAAGGTGTATTTAAGTTTAGAAGGGGTAAATAATAATAATAATAGAAAAATGTGAACATTTAAATGCTGATGACCTCTCATTGCGGGAAATAACACAGCTCTGTCTGAGTGAGCCCCTGTTTAAGAGTGGAGATAGTGTCATTCTATTTCAGGCACTCTGAGTAGGCGAGCAAATATTCCATGTTGGAAAAAAAATAAAATTCTAATAAAATCCAAAGGACAGAAATGAATTTCTCAAGATTACCATGGAGATAACATTTGCTTTGTTTGTCATATGTGTCATCATTACCTCTTCTAGTTCATTATTTCTATAAGTGATTTTTATTCGCATTTCTCTCAGACCCAGTAAGTCTGACAAGAGTTCTGTGCTGTGAGCAGTGTTAATGCCACTTCCACTCAGTCAGTCACCCCAGGACAACAATTTTGAAAGGACCTATATGGGAAGAACGAGACACCACATTTCACAAACACACCATTTATTCTCATGTCACTTACTATAACTACTGTCCTCCTCTTTTGTTCCATCAATTGTTCCATCTGCTTGCAACTGTAAGTGGTATCCTTGCCTGCTGTATAGCTTTGTTACTATACCTTTAAGCTGAGGCTCTGTAAAAAAACAATAGTGAGATTAATGTGGGAAATCCTGATGTGCCATTCCAAGTGAGCAGGATGTTAAAAACAAATCTCCTGGTTTCTTCCCAAGGCTGAGATATAAAAAAGATCCAAAACATCAGCATGGCAACCAGCTTTGCAACACTTCTCATTTAGGCTGAGATCAACTCTATGTCTCTGATATCAATTATCAAAATGATTAAATACCAATCTCGATGATAATGTCAGTAACACAGTAAAATTTGCTTCCAGTGAATATAAATTCCAACAGTGTCCTGCTTGGCCTCAGGAGCTCAGCCCTATCTCATTTAAGATTAGAAATGAGCTGGCAAAGACCGCATTCTGCCTTTTAAAAAGGTGTGAGTTCTTAAATGGAGAGGAAAAAGAGGACTACTACGATAGTGTTAATAAGAGCCATGGTGACAGTAAAGAGCCTAAATATATAGCAGCAAACGTTTAGCACAGGAACTGCTGCAGCTCTAATAAACAAACCCCCATTCCTCCCTGCTCCAAGGAGCACAGAGCACCCAAAGTGATAACATATGGAAAATGGAGGGCGGAACCCTGAAATCCAGCAATGTGTGGAGCTGCAAAATAAATATTACCATATGGGTTGAGGTAATTACCTCATCAGCTAGAAGAAGAAAGATCAAAACAATGTATAGCCTGAATTGAATATTTTTTTTTTTTTATAACCAGCCTCAGATTCACAGTTAGAAAGCGAGAGATCTCAGACTGTTTCAGATCATTCAAGACCAAAAACTAAACAGCAACAAGGTCTGCTGTCAAGTCTGTCACTTAAGATATCTCGGTAATGCACCAGGAGTAATTGCAAAAAAGATCTACTTCCACTGAATCCCAATGACATCTGCATTGTAGTCATTGCACACAATTAGGCTTGTCAGGAGGTGATGTATCTCCACACCTCACTCCTAAACAACTTACTTAATTCAGAGATAAACACACTGTGAAGATACAGTGTGTCATTTCCAGCAGTCAGTGTTTGGGTAAGATTCTTTGTGTTTGTAACCAAAGACATGGGGAAGGTCTGCTCCTGTACTTCATTTTAGTAGGAGTTGAAGGCAAAATCTTACGGTATAGCAGTTCCCATCAGCAGCCTTTAATAAGGGTACTGACAGATGCACAGGTCTTATCTACCAACTTCTCTCACAGTAAAGTAATCCAACCCTGACTTTGGTTTTTAACCATAATACATCCCAAAGCTGTTTGCAAATTGCGAGCGAGGCACCTCTTCTGTGGCTGCTGAGAAAGGCAGGCAGGTTAAGTGGCTGTCGGCACAGCAAAGCGATAGCAACATTACCAAAGGGTTTTGCTCCCCCCACGTACAAAAAACCCACTCAGATCAGGGACTGAGTCTTCATGCCTCATCTTTTGCACCTCTGACACAGAGAACATCTTGTCTGCAGGGCAGCTGCATGTTCCTAGAAAGGAATCAGGTGCTGAAGCGAAACTCTAGAAGGGGCCAGTGAAAGCAAAAAGCCTGGTCTGCCATCAGCACACAAAGCACAGACATTCTGTGAAGCAGCAAGACAAGAAGCGGGTCTCTAGACTCCTAAGTTATTTAACATACAACTGCAGGAGGTGTATGCCTGGGAACTTCCCCTGCAAACCTCTCCTCCACAAATAAATCACGTGTGTTAGTATGTGTGTAACAGAGAGACTAACAACTGAATTACCAGTACACAGGTGCACACAGGTGTGCAAGAGAGGCAGAAAGCAATGGGGCATTACCCAAATAAACCAGATGAACATGAGTTGGGAAGGGGTACCATGTCAGATCATACGAGCCAGGAAAGGCAATACCTGCACATTCATTTTACCAACCTTGAGGCACTGGTCTCCCTTTCCCCACACCTGATGCACATCCTAGTTTCCATTAAATTAAACCAACCAACCCCCCAAAGACATAACCCTTGCCAACCTGGTCGCCTTCTTCGCCTTTTCTTGGAGCCAAAGAGTTTGACCCTGGAAAACACATTCAACTTGTTCTTGTCGCAGCTTCCCTTGCTCTTGCTGGGGCTGTTGACACACTTACAGGCATTGGACTTCTCCCGCTCCCTGGCTTGTCTCTTCTGGCGGATCAGGGAGCTGGCGATGGCTGCGGCCATGGCCGCCACGGCCCCGGC